ATATATACTTTTTATTTTTCGAGTAAACTTTTAATTAACCGCGATGATGGTTAGTTTTGCGCCGCGAATCGACGCGGTCGGGAGATCGGTAAATTCGACGTTGTCGCGCGAGCGCTAGAAAAACAAATTTCGTTCACCTTTCCGCGGCCGAAAATAATTGCTCGAAAGTCCAAGCGTTACAGAGAGAAAGTACATATATTATTAATGTGTAAATGCCCGGCAAGCGAGGGTAGTGTCCTTACAACAGCTGATGAGAATTAAGTTCTGCTGCTGCTGCTGCACATTCCGCGTTATCATTTTTGCATTACGCGCGCGCTCGTGTTATTATGTTGTTGTATTCTTTTTTTTTCACTTTTCGCTCTCTCGGGTGCACTGGTAAAAAGCGCCGGAAAACCGAGATCCGCGAGATTAGGCGACGTTGAACTTTCTTTGCGCGATGCTATACGCACTTGTATGTATTTTTTTTTTCTTCTTCTTTCACCGGGTGGAGGAACGAAAGTAAAAGCGTCGCTAGATTGTCGCCAAATTAATTTAGTTTCGCTTTCAAAAACTAACGAGACCCGATTGAAGAGCATTAATAAAGAAAAGTGTTGTCTTTGACCGTACAGGCCTGCACAATGTCATTGAACTGGCGAAGCAGTACAACCTGCGTATCTTCGTGCCATCGACGATCGGGGCATTCGGGCCGGATTCCCCGCGCAACCCCACGCCCAACGTCACAGTGCAGAGGCCCAGGACGATTTACGGGGTCAGCAAAGTCCACGCCGAGCTGCTCGGCGAGTATTACCATCACAAGTTTGGCCTGGATTTTCGCTGCCTGCGCTTCCCCGGCGTCATCAGCAGCGATCCACCCGGTGGTGGTACGACCGGTAAGATATAACAAATCGGTCATACATTCAAAAGTGATTCTATACAAAGTGCTTGAGATCTTGTCGCGAATGTGCGCGCGTGTTTCACGCCGGTAGGCAAGTGGATCACTCGTGAGTTTGAACGAGGTAATAAGTCGATCCGTCGGGTAATCGGAGAAAGAGTCCAAGAGCACGGCGACATGCGATGCATCGCATTCACAAAACCATTTGCATGTTCACGTGTAGATTACGCGGTGGCGGTGTTCCACGAAGGCCTGTTGCACAAACGCTACGAGTGCTATCTGGAGCCACACACGAGACTGCCGATGATGTACATCGACGACTGCCTGTCGGCCCTCTTCCAGTTTTTGAACGCACCGTGCGAGCGGCTTCAGAGGCGCGTCTACAACGTCACCGCCATGAGTTTTACGCCCGAGGAGCTTTTCGCCGAGATCAAGAAACACCTGCCCGAGCTTCAGGTCACTTACAATCCGGACAGCCGTCAGAATATAGGTACGAAATCGAGATGCCGTTGCTCTTTGTTCATATCTTTCATCATGCTATATTTATAAGTGATATTAACCAAAATATATATTATTTACATGACATTTCATTAATTTCTAGTGAATAATAAATTGTTAAAATGTTTAGCTAACACGTGGCCACAAGTGTTCGACGACAGCGAAGCTCGCCGGGACTGGGGCTGGCAGCACGAGTACGACATGGAGAAGCTCGTCGTTAGTATGATCCAGGACGTCGGTGAGAATTTTATTCCCAAGTATCAGCGCCTCGCCGAGGTCAGCAGTTACGTGTGATTGCGCGTAATTTAGTAGAAAAAACAAAAAAAAAAAAGTATCCGAGAGATTTTCGACAAGGGACACTTCAGTCGCTGTCATCATTCAGGAGTGCTTCAATGTTCACGGGGTTCATCTTTTCCGAGCGCCTATCTATTGTCTTTACTTTCTTCTCGGCTGTTCGGGACGGCGTAACGTGTGAGCTGCTCGTTTCTAAATTGCTGTCAACTTTTACTCTGACGGTTTGTGAAAACAACTCGGGAGATGACGGCGCTTGAGTGCTGTTCTGCGTAACTTTTTCCTCTTCTGTAAAACAAACAAATAAATAAATGTATATATATTACGATTGTGTATCATTAATTACATTTCATGTGACTTTATTTACCTTTCGTTTTATCTTTGGTTAATGTCTCTCTACTCTCGTTGAAGTATTGATTGGGGTGAAGAAACACCCTGCTAGCAGGCTGGCCATGAGTGCTTTCAAAATATTTGAAGCAAGCCAAATTATATTGACCTTCACTGGACAACCTAGCAATTTCCGCTTTATCTAAAAATGACATGACCTTTGTAGCACACGTTTTTAAACATCATTGATATATGAAAATACATTAGCAATAATTAAACTTTACAAACCTGTTGTAGGTATTCCATATTCGGTAAGCTTTTTCGTTAGCTCATCTGTGTCCATGTGCTTAAAAGGACAGCCGTGCACCTCACCAGGCCCAACAGGCGTAGTTATGATTTTGTTACAACCATGAGGGCGATAATCTACGCGCCTTCCCTCTTTGCCGTAATTATATTTAATGTGATACAGATACTGTTTGTCGAACTTGTCGTCGTTCATATCGTCCTTCTTGGTCATTTCTTTTCTCCAAAATTCAATGGAATCATTAACAGTCACACCTATGCCTTTCAGAAACAGTCCATATTGCATACGCCCTGTATTTTTCAAGTGATGTGTGGTTGTTAATACATCGTGCATTATTCTCATACAAAGTGGATATGACGTTTTTGACAGCTAAAATTAGATTGTCTTAATTAATTGACTTTAATAATTTTCATATGCAAAAGAAAATAAAAATACTAACATCTTCTAATTTGGAGATTGGTGTGTTTTCTGATGACCAAACAACTTTCTCCATACCTGCATAGCATTCGGGCAAACTTTTGAGGAATATTTGCAGTCTTTCGTCATCCAAATTTTTCAAGACAAACTTTTTGGCATTCTGAAATGAAATGTTTTTAAGATGATTACTATTATTGTTAGTAAACCAATGTCTTACTGAAAACTTACATTGAGTTCAATTCGCAAATTATTTCTAAAGTGCGTCATAAATACTGAAATGAGATCATGCTGAGGAACATAGGCCATGCCTTTGTGCAGATAAACTCTTCTATCAGATATCAGCTCTGCAACTTCATCAAACGGCAGTTCATAAAAATCAATATTTTCAAAATCTGTATCTTTGGATGTTGATGCATACAGGTTGTCTCTATTTTCATCTCTAAACTCTTGTGAGACCTACAACAAAGGCAGACAACTTTGTTTTTATATTTTTTACATAAAATACTTTTCGATTCTATTTAAAACTCACTGGAGTGTAACGAATTTTACTGGTAGCCAAAAACTGATTCAGACCTTCCCTGTTGAGGGAAGAAAACCTCAGCTTGAACAGCTCGCTTTCGTGAGTAATTATAAAGTTTTGCAGATCATCTTTCAAAGAATAAGCCAGTCGCAATATAAAATGTGATATGTGATCTTTTCTTCTCGATTGAATGTCTTGATCGGTGTGGCTTGCACAGCCAGTTGCATTTAAAAGTCTGGCATAGTGATTGAACCCATCTTTCTTCAGAGCACTTGTGAGAGCTGTCTTGAGTTCCTCGAGTGTTTTGTGCTGCTGGGCTTGTGTGATTTCCAGCAGCTGCAAAACTTAAATGAAAATAATCAATTTAACAAACAATAGATCTTTTTACATCCAAATCGTTAAATAGCAACAAGTCACAGCATACCTTTTTGCCTTTCAAAAGCCAAATCTTGAAACTCAATCAGCGTCATTTGCCCAGTTGGCGGAACTTTGTACATCTGCAGGTCGTGGGGATAAGCTTCCAGAAGAGCATTTTTCTCTTGTTTCTCAGTTTTCCTTCTTTTGGGGGTGAAATCCATTTTTTTTTTTTTTAGCTCAACTGCGGAAACGGGAGCATCAAAACACTCGGGATGATCGAAACACTCGTCACACGATTGATGAAAAACGTTTGTATGAAATTTTGCTCACGACTTAAAGACCCAATGAACTTTTTTAACAATTATAAATACCGACAAACACATTAGTCAAATAGTAAATAAACGAGCATGAAACACACAACCAAAATCAAACGCCATCCACCAGGTGTGTGTGTACGTACGAAGTAGATTTTCGCGCGCGTTTTCTGTAAAAGTTAGGTAACTGCTGGTTTGTTCGGATGTTAAACAAAAAACGGTAAACAGACCTTGTTCATGTTTTTCTCCTCCCTCCAATTGATATCGCCATATTGGTAGTCCTGGTTGTATTATTGTGACAGTTAAAAAACGAGCTCGGTTTTGCATTGTTGTTAAAAAAAGACAACGTTTTTTTGGGCGAAGGCAACGCGATTTTTGTTTCAAATTGTTCAATCAGGCGATTGTGTGAGTACTTATCGAGGCATTTTTTTACTTTTTTTGTTAATTAGAACTCGCATTTTGGTCCGGTTTGGTGTGTTTACGTATACGACTGTTGAGATTTAAATTTCACTGTTTGCTTACATCGTTTAATCCAACGTTAAATGAAATATGCATGTTTTGTTTAAAAAACTGTTTTTGTGCACATAAAATGAATAAATAGCTAAATGTGCCACGTGCAACGCTAAAAACTTTCTCGGGTGCTTGTTTTATAACCTTTGTTTACTCTCATTTTCGATGCAATGTGAATAATCTATACATGTACTTTTTGTTGCAGACAATTTTCTGACTGCACACTATTGTCAACAATGACGGCGACTGCGTTTAAGGTTCCATCAAACACACCTCAAGCTTATGTTGCTGGTGTAGAAGAAACTCTCCAGATAATGAAAGAACACACTGAGAATCGAAGTGACAAGTAAGTAGGAAACAAACATTTGGAGTCAAGAATTGAATTTCTGTTTAACGATACTTATTTATTACAGGCATCAGTGGGGCTTAGGCGACTTTGAGATTGGTGCTCCCCTTGGTAGAGGCAAGTTTGGCCGAGTTTATTTGGCACGAGAAAAGAACACTCACTACATGGTGGCTCTGAAAACCCTCTTCAAATCCGAACTTGTAAAGAACAGAGTAGAAAAGCAGGCGCTCAGAGAAATAGAAATTCAGTCGCACTTGAGGCATCCTCACATCTTACAACTCTTGACGTACTTCCACGATGACAAAAAAATTTACTTGGTGTTGGAGTTTGCAGCTGGAGGTGAGTTATACAAGGAACTCAAGAGGCAGCCCAAAGAGCGGTTTAACGAGCAGCGATCCGCAAAATACGTGTACCAAGTAGCGGATGCTTTGGAGTACTGTCACATGAATAATGTCATTCATCGAGACATTAAACCCGAAAACTTACTCCTTACTTACAACGGTGACGTCAAATTGGCGGATTTTGGCTGGTCGGTTCACGCACCCACGACGAAACGTGCCACAATGTGCGGTACTCTCGACTATTTACCGCCAGAGATGATTAACGGACAAAAGTACGACATATATGTGGACCACTGGTGCCTGGGAATACTGTGCTACGAGTTTTTGGTCGGATGTCCACCTTTTTTAAGCGAAACCAGTGATGAGACTTATGCAAAGATCAAAAGGATCGATGTAACCTGGCCTCCACAAATCAGCCCAGGAGCCAGAGACTTGATCTCAAGACTGATCAAAGCAAATGGTGCCGAGAGAATCCCGCTAAAGTATGTAAAGTCACATTTCTGGATCGTTGAAAACAAGGATTTGGCCAGATAGAAATAGGAAACGAACATTCAACTTTTAAATGCTTCATTTTTTTCTCATACATTTTTATCTGTAAGAATTTTGTTTGTTTGTATGAAAAAAAAAAAAAAAAAAACCGTGAATGTAATGAAATGTACTTTTAAATCAGTATGAGTGATAAAATTTTTATCTGTTACATGGCTATAGAATATTTTGCAATTGATAATGAGTTACAGCAGATAGCTAATAAATTAATTTTTATTACCTCGTACAACTGTTACACATCATTTAAATCTCGGCGCCTTTGTTCACGTCATACACTCGCAAATGTATATATACGTAATCCTTCCTCCCTCACCCTCACTGCCTCCAACAAGTTTTCCTTTCACTTTTCTAGTTACTCGAGTAGTGATCTCCGCGTAGTATACACTTGACGATCAACGGTGACAATGGCAGCCGTACTTGGAAGGGTTCTCGTTTACGGCGGCAAGGGTGCCCTGGGCTCCGTTTGCGTCGAGACGTTCAAAGCAAAAAACTGGGTAGGTTTTGTTTTGTTTTGTTTTTTTTTTGTTTTTCTCACACATTTAACATATCAAGAGCCGGCTTTTCTTTTCCATAGTCCTTTTTTTGCTGCGTTTTTTTATACTATAGGGTGGAAACACTTGTTGCAGTGAGATTTTATTGATTTTTACGTGGCTCAGAAAAAATTTCTAACATATGTTGTAGAAAATTGCGTTAAAACTTATTTGAGTAAGATAACTGTTCCTAGCTCATTAATAATGATCTATTGTTATCAATAAAACAATTTTTTAAAGATTTTTTACTCACTATTTGATTTATTTGAACGACTTTTATGATTTTCTTTGATTTTGTTTTATCGAGTGTAGAAAAATTTACACGAAAGCCAACATGAGTGTTATTTAAATTTTAAATAACATTCTTGCAACTGCAGTTAATATCCTGCACAAGGACATGCAATTACATTATATCCACATTATGCAGTACTTTCTAAATCCGCTAACGAGTTGTGTGAATCACGTTATGTGAATGTCCCTCTAACGTTCTTGGTATTCAAGAAATAATATGTTTGTTTAGAGCAATAATGTACATCATAATTCGAAAATAATTAAAATTGTTATTACATAAATTTTCATTTACATGGTATTATTTTATATATATACTGCTTTCATTTAAATATTTTGACTTCACCAACAGTTTTTGATACACTTTTTGATAATACGTTTCATCAAAAAAGTAGATAACAGTTTACAAAGGTCAATAAGCTAAAAATACAACCAAAATTTTTATCTTTCAGTGGGTTGGATCAATTGATATGAGCCAAAGTGAAAAAGCGGATGCTAATATTATTGTGAATGTTCAACAAAATTGGCTTGAACAGGTGATAAGAAAATTTTCATTTATAAAGGTAAAAAATAAAATTTGTTATTTATGAATCCAAAACTCTCAGGAAGAAAGTATTTTGAGTCAAGTTAAAGAAATTCTTGGAGAAAATAAACTTGATGGAGTTATTTGCGTTGCTGGCGGATGGCAAGGTGGTAATGCTTCCCACAAAGACTATGTTAAGAGCTGTGACATGATGTGGAAGCAAAGTGTTTGGAGTTCAGTTATTGCTTCAAAAATTGCAGCCCATTATCTCAGAGAAGGTGGTTTCTTATCATTAACTGGTGCCAAGGCAGCACTGGAGGCAACTCCAGGTATTTACTTAAATAAGTTTTTTTTTTTTTTTGGTCAAAACAACTTTAGTTAAATTTAACTGTTAATTTCTGTATAGGAATGATTGGCTATGGATTAGCCAAAGCAGCAGTTCATCAACTGACCAAATCACTAGCAGCAGAAGGTGGTGGTCTTCCAGCTCAATCTCTAGTAGCCAGTATCTTACCAGTCACTCTAGATACTCCTATGAATCGTAAATGGATGCCAAAAGCTGACACCTCCACTTGGACTCCATTAGAATTTATTTCAGGGTAATACAATTTGTACAAACGAATGGTTATTAAAATTTGTCGCAATTCTAATAATAATAATACTCTTTTTAATGTTTTTAGTCTCTTTTGGAAATGGTCCCAGAATGAAGAGAGACCAGCAAATGGAAGTCTCCTTCAGCTTGTTACGAAAGATAACAAGACAGAAATCATTCCAGCTGAAATTTCTTATTAATAAGGAAAAAACATCCAATAAGTATAAGGAATCGTTATGAGTCACATTGTTTACATTTTAACATTAATTTTTAAATATTGATATTGAATTCATTACACATTGATTTGTTTTATTTATAATGTTTGATGCATTATTTATACAGCTGCATTTACATATATATAAGAAAAAAGCAACACATGTAAATACGATTTGTTCTTTGAGATAAGATCTGGTTACAGCCATACCAGTTTTTATATACTGTTGTTGTAAATTATATACTGTAAAATAAATCATTGTCATTACATTATGAGACGTTAGATTTTTTTAAATTCTCCTCGGCTGGATTCGAGTCTGATTTCGTGGACGTCTGTTATACCACAGGATACTTATAGGGTGAGATTACATGGAGAGTCTGGTAGTCTGCAGACTGGCAGAATCGCGCTAAGTTTAAAATATGTTTCAATATTAATATTTAAAACCTGTTACGTATGCAAAGAAATAATTATCGTAATACATTTGCATTTCTGTATTAACTAATATTTATGATAAAAAAGGCGACGAAAAACGTTTTGTCATAGTTACATTTTGCTATACATACCAGGTTACATCAGTGACCCTACTGACCGGCTGTGCGATGTTAACATAAATCTATAAAAAAAGTTATAAAATAATATTTGACACGTTTTATTGTAAATGAAATTGATTGTAACTAAGCCTTTATTCTGTTATGACAATAATTAAAATTTTTTCTTTATTTTACTAAATTATTCTGAGATGTTAATATATAATTTAAACATAATTTAAACTTAGCGCGATTCTGCCAGTCTGCAGACTGCCAGACTCCATGTAATCTCACCCTAATCTCACCCTTATGACTTCGGTTTGTCCAATATCTCATACATTTATGCATCGACGCGCGAACGTCTCAAAAGAAGGAAAAATTTCTCAATTTATTGCGAAAAATATACAATTATATATATAGTTTTTGTGTCTCAATTTTATTGAACGAATAACATGCTAACACCTGATAAGTCAAAAAAAATTATTTATTTTTTTTCCTAATACATTGCACGTTTGTTCATTAAAATTCAAAAGAATAAATGTTTTGGAAAATCGAAGCAGTACAAATGTTTGGAGTCATGAACAATGATGGATGAAAAAATTGAAGAAAAAAAAATTGTTCGCATCCAGTTTTTTTTTTTTTTTTTTTCGAATCAAGAAAACAAGTTTGACGAAATTCTTTTGTAAAAAAATCATTCAAGTAATACCTGACCACATTACTATAGGTGGCAAAAGATGGACTTGTTTCAGATACAGTGCCACATTATGAACAATAAGAGAGTATATAGATGCATAAAAAAACTGGGTGAGAATAATTTTTTTTTTTCCAGTTCATCACTGAATTGAGCCCGATGGTCTCTATGTCAGGTGGATCACGAATCACAGATCGCAGATCGGATCGAGACTTCGAGAAACGGAAACGCGTATCGCGTGACGTGGGTTATTGGGGTTATCAGAGAAGGAAAGGAAAAGTTCTTCAATCTTCAATGCTTTAACCTGCTTTTAGGTATTATATACCTATACATACAAAAAAAAACAGATCAACGGAGATTACGAAGTCGAGGAAGAGGTTGACGTTGGAGAGGAGGTAGTACTCTGTCAGACAAATGCTTCTGCCGAGTGCCGAAGAGGAGGCCGTACTCAGGTTCTACCTGACCAATGGTCAGTTTGCTTGTTCAGTTGGGCATACCACATACGTTTTTCCCCCCAGAAGAGTGATGATTCATTTTTTTATTGTGTACACTTTTTGTTTATGTTTTTTGCATTTTTAGCCATGTAGTACGTAAATTTACGTATTTTTGCGTGTAATGTTCCTTCTACAATGATTGTTTTATTGGTGGCTGATTATTTGCAGGATACCTTCCAAGATGATGTAAATGGAAAACTTGCGAGTGCCAGGCCAGCCTCTTTGCAGCAGCCAAGGTAAGCTTTGTTTTTGCTACAGCAGATCTAAATTTGCATCATTTTTAAGAGGCACTGTTTTCAAGTTTACATGTCTCAACGTTTGATATTATGTGGTTGGATTATTCCATGATTTACACAGCTATTTCGTTGTTAGATATTGTTTTTCACTCCATAAATTAATTATCGCATTCAAGAGTCACAAAAATACACATTATAGAGTTAATATTCCCTTTTTCAATATGTACATAAATAACTAAGCTGTACCAATGAAATTGAACTTGATGCATCATTATTGATTTTTCAAATGTGCTTCAGATATGCAAATTTACTTATGCAAAATATATTAGCTTAGTAGCTGTCAAGAGTGATGATGTTGATGTAACCAAATAACTACATCAATCTTGCGTTAAAAATCGAAATGCATTTTCCTGCTATTCCTAACGAAAGATTTGCTGTAAAGATGGACAGGGTTCACTTGTTGCCGATGCAACTACCACCAGCGAGCAGTATAAATGGGCACAAAAGTAACAACGGCTATGGCAATGGCAAGGGCAAGGTATCGTTCGTACGACGTCTGGCCCTGGGTTTTATGATTTTGGCTGGTCTCGGGTTGCTCTACGTCCCGGCTTATCACTCGGCGCAGGGACAGTTTTCTGGTTTAGGTGAGACTCCATCTCCACAGGGATCTGTTGGAGGTACACGTCACCTTGTATCCTCCATAGGTATGCTATTTGTTGATGCTTCTGCACTAGATAACAATTTTTTCACTATAAGAACAACAAAAAAAAGAAAAAAACATCAATTGTCTTATAATTTGATTACGTCATGGTTTTAGTTGACAATATATTAAGTATACATTTTCAACATGTAAGTAACATTTCAATACTATACGTTACCAAACAGTACACCAAAAATTTCGGTTCTTATTTTTTCGAAGTTTAAAGCAGTTGTTTTTGAATTTGAAAATTTTGAAAAAGCATTTTTTACTGTTGCTTTATGAGCTTTGTATAGATCAAATTTTTTTTTCATTTAATATAAAGTTTCATTAAATTTACGCATAATGTTATATGATTTATATTGTTTTGACGTTTTAGTTGAATTTAAGTAAATAAAACACATTATATTTGTGATATAATTTTCGTGCAATCGCTTTGCTTTGCTCAAAAAGTTTTTGTCACCACGAATATTTCATTTTACTTTTTGCATTTTACTGATTTAAATTTAGATTTAATGAAAAGTATCTTATCTTGCTTTTCTTATAAGCATTTCGAGCAATGCCATAAGCCAAAATTGACTGTACTTCAACTTTATCTCAAACGCTGCTGTGACATTTCGAACGTTTTGTCACTTTTTATCTAATTGGTTTAAATTTGTTGTTTTATGTAGCTTCTTGTTTTTTTTTTTTTCACTAATACGCAGTATTTACTAATTTGGCGTAAAGTAATTCCAAAGTATACTAACACCGCTGTACTTAGATTGCAAACTAATAAAACACAATGCTGATTTTCCTGTTGAAAAAAAAAAAGATTGAAACGTGTAACTTTTTTAGATACTAGTCTAAAATTGCCTTGGGTAAAGACGTATTATGTGACGTGCAGTAAAAAATTTTGAGACCATCACTTATAAATTTTTGACGCAACATTCAAAGACCTTACTCCAAATACGTGTAGACGATTTCGAGTTTCGAGATAACATGTGACGTTTACCTTGATTATTGCCGTTTTATCTTCTATTTGAATCGAAGTTTTTAAAATAATCAACTACTCGACAATGAGTGCATTTGTAACATTTTATTTTTGCTTTCCGTGCACATGTACCTACAAACCGAGAGGTCTAGTAGCAATGTTTTGACGCGTAAAACAACCGGTGAGTCACACAGTCACTTGATCGGTTTTGCAAAACGCAAGTGGTACTTGGCTCGTATCATTTACGATATCGCGTTGAACAGGAGAAAAAGCATTCTTCGAGTGGAGTTGATCTCACAACAGTAGTCGATAACAATATCGTAAAATAAACATACTAATACCGTCTCTCACACAATCGCAGCTATACATCTTTGATACATGTACAACATACTTGCCAACGACTCTTGTAGAAAAGTTATCTATCATATTTCAAGAAAAAAAAAACCTTTTTTTCTTTTTTTTTTTTTTTTTTTTACTTTAAAAATTAAAGTAATTTATAATCAATAAAAATAATAAATTATTAAAAATTCAGGCTTTCGTGACATTTTTTTTTTATTTTTTTTTATTAGAGCAAATAAGCAATTGGAAAATGTACGTCTACAGCTTTTCTCCCTTCTGATTAAAGTACTACCGCAAGTATTTCCTGAAATATCGCAATTTAGAGACAGTTCTTTTCCCGCCGAGCCGTTGATTATACGTTCATGTATATGCTACAACGAAAGAGTAGAGTACACCTGAAAAAAAAAAAAATTTTTCAAGCATAAGTACGGCTAAAAATTTTTTACCGAATAAAAGAATTTTAAAAAATATCAGTCCATACTCTGCCCTAAGTACATGTACTCATTCGTGTCTTCCTCCGACTTACCACACGCTTTAACGTACCTTCCAAGTACGAAATCGTATACTTAGTTATGTTCTTATTAATATTTTCTTTAACACACACACACACACACATCATAGCAGCCGAGAGTACCTTTTTTGTTTTTTCAATTGACACGATAATTTATGCCATACACGCGTCACTCGTTTCTCCTTACGAATTAATTATAAACATCCGCTTGACCTCCTCTAACTGACGGAGCTATCCTGTGAAGTTTAATTTGCATATTATAACGCCAAAGCATAGGGTAGATATTGTACAGCATTAGCAGCTCAGTTGATTAAGCATTACTTACACACACGCTAGTTGTCGCAATAAACTCGCACGCAAGAGTTTCACTGGAGCATACATTTTATTAATGGTGGTCGCTTCTATATGTGGAAGAAAAAAAAACCATTGCCACAATCCTCCGGCTGCTGTGATGGGGGAAAAAAAAATAAAATAAAAAAAAATGTCCACGCCTCTTTTGACGCCGTTCCCCCTGTGAATTCTCTAAAGTTCAGCTGCGCGGCTGGAGCTACAACACGACGCGCGACGTGTCGACGTACATCCGTCCTGAGAACAACACGACAGCGATCCTCAACCCCAGCAACATCTGCGGCGAGTCGGCCTACCTGCTCATCGTCGTCTGCTCGGCCGTGACTAACGTCAACGCGAGACTGACCATCAGGAACACCTGGGGCAACCAATCCAACCTGGACGTCCTCTACGACTCGTCCGTCAAGCTTGTCTTCCTGCTCGGACTGAGCGGCAACGACACCATCAATGTAACCTTTTTTTTTATTTTTTCCACTTCTATACTTAAATCCGTGCTCACGTTCTCTCAAATCCAGGACTACGTGGTCGACGAGAGCCACTTGTACAACGACGTGATCCAGGAACACTTTCACGACTCCTACAACAACTTGACCCTCAAGTCGTTGATGATGCTGAAATGGGCGACGACCTACTGCGACAAAATCACCTACCTCATGAAATCCGACGACGACATGTTCATCAACGTACCGGCGCTCATCAAGGCCTTGAAAGCGCGAGCCAAGAGTACCGGTACCCTCATCGGCTCGCTCATCTGCAACGCGAAACCCGTCACGGACATAAAAAACAAATGGTACGTAAGCAAGAGTATATCGTTGAATAAACGAGCGATCGATGGGTGAAAAAAAAAAATTATATATATATCGTTATATTCAATTTGCAGGTACACCCCGAAGTACATGTACTCGGAGCGTACGTATCCGAACTACCTGTCGGGCACGGGTTACGTGATGAGCCTCGACGTGGCTCGGCGTATCTATAAAGCCGCGCTGGCGGTGCCTCTGCTGCACCTCGAGGACGTGTACATAACGGGCATATGCGCGAAGAAGATTGGTCTGAGGCCCGCGAACCAACATGGCTTCAGTTACATACCCCGGAAGCTCGAGACTTGTGCCCTCCGCGAAGTCATCACGGCTCACAAGATCAACGCTTCGACCATGAACACCATCTGGTCGAAACTCTCGGCAGCCGAGGACGCGGAAACCAATGGCACGAGCGTGTGTACGGCGTCGAAAGCCGTGGATAAGAAACGTGCCACCATTACAGCTAAGGTCGGCATGAAGCGCGTTGGTTACTTTTTGATGAAGAGTGGCCGAACGTTCAACAATCGGTGTGTCTGAGGGTGACTGTGACTATCTCGGTGTGTAATGGAATTATTGTGTGCTTGTGTACAATATAGGTTGTACATCTCGTTACCCTCGCCGAAGGAATAATCAGGTACCACGTTGCGTTGAAGTTGATCTGAGGTGCATATTTGTTTATGAAATAAGTTGTTATTGTTACTGCTGGATGCGAGGAGTTGAATTTCAAGGCCACTTTGCTAGAGATTGATTCGTCAGTTAAAAGACGACTCGTTTCAAAATAATATACGTTGTAATATACGTTGACAAATTTCTTATATTATTTCAAAATACTTTGAGATGAGTCGTCTTTCAAAGTTGTTCCTGAAAGATGTTTTTTTTTATACTTCTTTCATGAATCGTTCTTTTACTCTGCTGACGAGTTTATCTTGTACGTTGAAAGGGGATAATGACACAGATGCAAGAATTTCTAGGAAAATATGTAAGAAAAAAATTTTACATACCAAATTAGGCTGTTTAAATTAATTATCTTACTATAGTTAGTAATAAAAGATTTTTAATTAAAAGTGGGGTATTACTAAGGTATTAATGAGTCTTAATTTGTGCAATGAAACAATTTTTGATCTCATTAGTAGATTTTACCTGTTAAAGCTCAACTCCTCTTGAACTTTTCGCTTTCAGAGGACCCGATAATTTCGGTGCTTTTAGTATTGTGGCCAACTTCCATAAATGTTCCTTGTTTTTCGACAAATTACTAATTTTATGAATTTCCAGAGCTTCCCACAAAAGATGATATTATTTAAAAAGTTTACATAACGAATTTTAGCGACGTATTATTTTGGTCCCACTGAAAACGGAAAACGGATCGATGATAAAATGTAAATATTTATTGGTCAACAGTGCTTTTTGAAGGCGATGTAACGTTTAAACAAATTTATTTTCATTTGAAGCAATGCATCAGTATAATTTATTGATTACTGTTTAAAACTCTTGAGATACACTCATTTGAAACTCAGATAGTACAATTTTTCATATCCAAATATACTTTACATTTGGATTTATTTTACCATTGAATTTTATATCGATACTAATACATATACAAATATTTTTTTAGTAGATCTGATTAGAAAGTTAATCAAATGTTTGATATTATACATTTCTACAAGTTTATTGTCAACTAGGACTTGATGCATGACTGTTGATTTTTTTTAGAACATTAAAGAACCTTTTATATATCGCACTGAAACAGGTTTAAAAATAATTTTTTAATAACGGACAAACGGTATTACGTATTCCAACTGCATATAATTGCTTATTTTTTACATTCATGATTCAACGAAATTTTTTAAAATAAATCGAAAACTTATTGAAATATCATCTACAAAAAAGTGTTCATAAAATATTATTGTTGTTTCAATGAAATTGAACAAAAAAAAGTGCGGAAGATTGACATGTGCTTAGTAATGATGATAACAACGATTGGTATTGCGGTTGTGAGTAAGCCTTTGTTTGACTTTTTAAGAGAACTGTAGCTAGTTAAAAACTTGAATGCGCTAGAATTATATTTTTTTGAATCACAAACGTTAGAAGAGTAACTTTTTTTTTTTGTGAGTGGCGCGTCCTTATGGGCTCGGGAACTGCGGAAACAAAAAAGATATTTTAAGTATTGTGCAATTTAGTATTTATATGAGGCTTGCCCTAAAAACTGCAATATTTTTGAAGAATTAAATCCATATAGGAAAATTAATACAGGTTCAACTATAGCACAAACTTTTTTCAATGCTTAATAGCGTCATCATAAATTTTTGACAAATTTATTGTGCCGCGCGTCAAAACTCATAAAATGAATTCTTGACTCATAGAAAAGCTTTCACCTTCTTCTTTCTCATCGAAAAGTCTTAGTAAGTAGTTTGGTATACAATAATACCATGCAGAGACGTCCTCGAGTGAACAAAGGTGACATTCCGTTTGTAAAGAAAGCAAACTTTTCAAGATGCTTCCACATGATATTGTAATATTTCGTAACAAATGAAATTTTCTATGTCAATTTTATTACTCCAAGAAAATAAAACGAATGAAAAATCCATTGTGTTGACGTTGTAAATGTTTCAAATAAAAAAAAAGTGCGATACTTTATTATAATGCGAAAATTGAATGGAGAATTAGTTTGTAGTAAGGTTTGAAAACTGATGAAGTAATTTTTTTTCTCGATAAACCGTAAGTTTATTAAATATCAAGGAATTCCTTGGAATAATCCTTTTATGGAGCTTCAAAATTAAAACGAATGATCTTTCGAAGAAGTTTGGAAAAATAAAAAAATTTATTAGAAAGAACCGCTCATATAAAACGAAAATGATTTCAGTTTTATGAGAATAAAATAATGGGCAAACAAATATACTTTTCTGAGTAATTCCAAATTATCCTTTTTCTTGGCGAAAAAACGGATTATTTATAGGTTTTATGCATCCTAGGGGGCCTTAGAATCTTGTACTTTAACCGAAACACGTTTTTATCACGTGTGTAAATTATCATACTATAGATAAGTGAAGTTGGAGTACATGAGAGTATAAATATAAACGAAATTTTAATGTAGGAGGAAAAACAATTGTTGATGTATTGAGACTTTGAGTCACGATTTCATTGATGAAAAGTAAAATAATTTAATTGTAATGATTAAAATAGATGTATTTAAATAAATGATTTTAATTTTTAGTATGTTTTTTTATTTATTTGCACAGTAAATGTAAAGTAGTAACAAAAACTACAATTTGATACGTAATAAATACATTTTTTAGTGAAAATTGAGGTTTACAAAAAAGTCTTCACCAAACTTGTAAATTGTTTATGTGTTTTTTGTGAATTACAAAATTTATTGTTTTGCTGTAAGGTAAGACAAAATGTCCTTCATGCCGTTTAAATATCATCAATACTAGGTAATATCAAAACGACGATACATTCCAGATATCATACATAGAATATGTACAAATATTATTACTTTATTTATTGATGGCTGCTAGTCAAACAAATAGCATTATTTCAACATGTTTAAATGCAAGAAGAGTCTTTAATCTCCAATATTTATTTTAGTAAGTTTTACTAAAGCTTCATCAATATGTTGAACTAACGATTCAATTTTCAATTTAGCTGGTCGAATGAGATTTTTTAGCTTCTTCTTCTTTTCTTGTTTCTGTATTTCTTTTTTTTTCAATTTGGCACTTCTTGAATTCAATTTTTTTCCTTTTTTAGCTGTGCTCCAATTTTCATTTTGTTGGTGGTGCATAAATTCTTTCTTTGACATTATTTTTTTACTTTTTTTTAGGTTTCTAAGGAGAGCGCCATTTTTAAATTTTTCATACTGTTTTTTATGATAATCGTAAAATGGGTCACAGTTTTTACAAATGTGATTAGAATCTGCGGTATCACACGAGCTGTTCATTGTAGAAGATGACGAATCGATATTTTCCTTTTTTTTTTTGGCGATTGGTTCCATTGTGATATCATCGTCCAACAGACAGGCAGCCGAAGTGTCGCTAACGCCTTGTATTTTCTTAGTCTTCTTCTTGCATTTTTTCAATGTACCGTCTTTGCTGGTATCTTGAGTGGAATTTTCCCCATCATCTCCAACAGCATTGTCATTCTGTATTATACACGTAGTATTCAATTGACGAACTAGAGTACGCATTTTTCTCTTATTTCTCCTAATAGCCCTTTTTGTAGGTACATAATTTTCATTTACATAAATAGGTTGCACAGGCAGTATCAAATCGTTACAGTTTTTGGCATCTGTAGAAGGACTATTACTATTCATGGTGTGCTTATTTTTCTTTTTGTCTCTCTTGTCCTTTGGTAAGCCTTTTTTGCAAGACTTCAATCCACCATTGGCAAGAAACTGTTCCTCCTGCTCAGCTATCCTGCTGAGTTTTCCGCTCAAAGTTAGACCATGCCTCGCCCCTTTGTGCGCTGTCCGGCCACCACAGGCCTTAAACAGCTCCTCGTCTGTCAGCTTTTGGAATGGATCACTAGATTCTTTTTCTTCTTTATCAGGAAGACTTTGGCAAGTGCTGTCTTTAATGAGATTTCCATCTTGCAAAGTAGAGGTCTTTAGGAAGTTTCCGTGGTAGAGGGAAGCTTTTTCGATTGCTGGACCCTCTTTGGAAGAGATATTCACAGCGTTTTTGTCAGCTACACTGATCGACACTTGGTCGGCTTTTTGCTCCAGCACTATGTTACTTGCAGCTTTGTTGTAAACGGAGCTCCACCACTGATAATCCGAATCTTTGTGGCCGACTCCACTCGTGTCAAACTTGAGTTGAGGCTTTAGGGCCTGCGTTATGCCATTCTCATTCTTTCCAAGACCTTTGCCTGTAATGATACAACAAAGGTCGAATGAGTATACACATTGTTAAACTATGGAAATTTAGGTACCTCGTATATGCGAAAAAATAATTAAAAATGACACTGTAAATTCAAATAAGACGTAGCTTTGAGGTTAAGCAGCTGAACAAGCAAGATTATCGAAAATTACAGGTTGAAAAAAGAATGCAGTCGAAGGTAACGTGGCATATAAAAGTCATCATGTGGCCACGCAACTATTGGCTGTTTAACCGTCTAATAAATAATATCTCACCCTCGATCCATCCGTATTTTTGTAGCTGAGCTTTAGCAAACTCTGCCATTAAAACTTCTGGAAGACCTCGCGTCCCTGTAGCTATTTCATGCAATTTTCAATGCAAACAAGACTATTTTTGTTGGTAAACTTGACTTGTGCTTTGGCAAGATGTTACTACTATATTATATAGGTTATTAAAAATAAGAATGATGCGTGTCCTGCAGTTGTCCACGATTCCCGACGACCACTATATATAGTATATACACGTAAGCCACCAAGCCCCACGTTTTAGTGGCTGTCTGCTGGGGCTCTATCGCTTCCGTAATCACGACCTTCGATATCTCGCAAAAGTCAGTATTTTTTTCGATAATTTAAATTTACAGAAAATTATGGTTGTGCGCATGCGCAGTAAAAGAATTATCGAAAAAAATACTGACTTTTGCAAGATATCGAAAACCGGATAGACTCTGATAGAGCCTCGGGGGCGGGGGCTCTTTCACGACTTTCGATATCTCGCAAAAGTATTCAAGCATTTTTTTCGATAGTTTTTATAAAATAAATGATTGAGCGCATGCGCAGTCGCAAGATTATGAAAAAAATACTTCGCGAGATATCAAAAGCCGCGATTCGGCCGCGATCAGAGAATTTATCATGTCGATAGTGTCTGTTTATGTATTAATAATTTTTTTCACAAAAATTGTTGTTTTCGGGTTTAATGACGCGCTAGTGAGATATATGAAATATCGAATAATAAGCGCCACATGTGATGGTCAAGAGCCTAATGTATCTACTTATTTATTAAAATATAATTATTGTGCGATTATATTGCACATATTTTTATGTCAAGACGCAAAACTAAAGAATGGATATCATAATGATCGAAATTTTTTTTTTCCAAATAAAATTGTTCCTTCAGTTTTTTGTTAGTAAAATTAGTTTATTTATATTATGACTTTGTGTATGTATTAAAAAAAAATAATTTATATATAT